AGACAAAAAATCTTATACCCCAACAACTCCATAAAAAATAACATAAAAAAGTACCATGAGTTCTAGGACACTTATATGCTATTCATAAATACACAATTAATTATATTCTACTTTCTATCAATTATTCAATATATATGTATGTATGTATGTGTGTATGTGTGATTTTTTCTAAAGATGCATGTGCACCCCATTCAGGAGCAGCTCAAAGTAATTGGAGGTCTAAAGCGAAATTTAAATTAGAGGCCTAAAATCTAAATAAACTTCATATATATTTATTTAAAAATTATTTTTCTAACTTTTAGATTTCAATTAGAAGCCTAAAATCTAAATAAACTTCATATGTATTTATTTAAAAAATATTTTCTAACTTTTTAGATGTAAATTTTTGCTTAAAATTTATTTATAGATGATTTCTTCAAATATATTTTTTATTACTATTAGTTTTAGGTAAGATTTTATCAATTCATTTTGAAAACACTCTTTTACTGGGGGCATTACTATATGAATTGTTAACATAATTCTTAGTAATAAGTTGACAAACTTTAAATACAAACAAGAGTTAAATCATAGAATTTGATTCAAGAAGTTGATAACTCGGTATATCCTACTTTAATATGTTTGTTGTATTGCTTGAAAATTTAAGAAGAAATAAAAAAAGAATTTGTAACTTACTTTGTTCAATATTTTTCGACTATTGATTCATATTTTTGACAGATTATTACTCTACCACATCAAAAATTTGAAAAAAAAAATTCAAACAGATAAATAATATGAGTGTTAGCGAAAAATAATTATTTTTTTCTATTTGAATGGGGTTAAGGAGAACAAAAGAATATAATTGTATGTAAAAAAAATTAACAAAAAATTTATTCTGAATTTGAGGCCCCAAAATTGGGGGCCAAATTTTGTATGCAAGAGCCGCCCCTGACCCCATTTATAGGTGATGATGTGCATCCGCCTCTGCCCAAAGCTAAGGTGATAAAGACAACACCAAATTATTATTATTATTTATTTATTTTTTAAAAAAAAGTGATAAAGAAACTGAGACGTTATTACGAGTGTGTCTGGTGCTATAGAGGAAAATATCATTTTCTTAATTATTTTGGCATTTAGTAAGCAACTAAAAAAACTAATTTTAAGAACATTTATATATTAGAAATTAGACATCTAGATGAGAACATCTTTGAGAAAGGTGAGGAGGAGGCTATATATAGGAATTAGGATCATTATTTTGGTAATGTGGTTCGGAAATGTTAATATTTTTTCTAGGCAATACAACACAAACAAAATCATATATATGATAGCGTTAACAATTTAAAATTCAATATATTTAAAAAGAACTGATGATCTATCACCTATGAAACAATATTGAATAAATTTGAAAAAGAAAACAAGAGAAAATTACTTCGAGTTAATTTGGACGAATAGTCTATCCTTTTTAGTTCATATATTTATTTTGAGAACTTTAATATTCTTACATTATTTAAGCATACTCATTTATAATATCATCAATAGATATAGTATAAATCATATATATATTATTACTATATAAGAAGAGTGAATAAAATTCACTCTTCTTTCGACACGTGGCACCATGGCCCACCTACTTTTATATTTGGTTTTTGAAGATGGCCCACCTATCACAAATATGGTCCACCTACTTTTATACAATCCTCTTTCATTATATTTTAATTTTTTCCTTTTTAAATAGTACTAAAAAATAAATTTAAAATATTACAAATTCGATTAACTCTCAAAATTTTACGCGAATTCTATAATTAAGACGAAGGGAATAACATATATTATTTGAAAAATTACATTAATTACTATATAAGAAGAGTGCTTTCGACACGTGGCACCAAGATGGCCCACCTACTTTTATATTTGGTTTTTGAAGATGGCCCACCTATCACAAATATGGCCCACCTACTTTTATACACTCCTCTTTCATTATATTTTAATTTTTTCCTTTTTAAATAGTACTAAAAAATAAATTTAAAATATTACAAATTCGATTAACTCTCAAAATTTTACGCGAATTGTATAATTAAGACGAAGGGAATAACATATATTATTTGAAAAATTACATTAAGAATACCATAAACCACAATAGTTAACAACTTACAATATTTGAAAAACATATTAACTCTCAAAATTTCACATGTGTCACATAAATTGGGACAAATGGAGTAACATATATTATTTGAAATTACGTTAAGAATATTATTAATCACAACTTAAAGTATTTAAAAATACATAACATATATTATTTGAAAATAATGTAAAAAATATTATAAATCATAATAATTAACAATTTAACGGATATTGTGCCCGTGCTTCCATTTAGAAGTGAGAATGTTTAGGAGCTTAGGGTTAGTCAGTCAATTGACCGATTTGCCCTTCTTCTTCAACTTCCTCTATTTACTACAAAAATAGTACTAAAAATCAATTTAAAATATTAAAATTTTGGTTAATTCTTGAAATTTCACATGTATTGCATAATATAATAGAGTAGTAACATATATTATTTGAAAATTATATAAATAGTACTAAAATATAGTTTAAAATAGTACTAAGAATTTGATTAACTCTCGAAATTTCATATGTACTGCGTAATTGAGATTGAGTGAGAAATATATATTATTTGAAAAATAGAATAAATATGTGATATTATTAGAAAGAGCTTTAATATATATTTTAAAAATTATTTTGTCTTCCGTATATGATTTTCTGCATATATGTGGAGTTTTAAAGTTTTTAACATTTTAATATAGAAATATGATTATTTGAAAATTTTAGTACTTTCTTCATTTAAATTTTTCCTTGTTTTTCTTTTAATTTGTTCTAGATTTAAAAATTACATAAAAAGTACTTAAAATCACAATGTAATAATATAAGATATTAAAAAAACATAATTAAAAATCATAAAAGAAATTTTATTGACTCTTTAATTCCATATTGAAACATAAGAAGTTTGTTTGAAAATAACATAAAAAGTAACGTAAATTAAAGTAAAATAACAACTAAAAATATTGAAGAATCATATAAGAAATTTAGTTGACTTTCGTAAAAGTACCTACGTCACATAAAATGGAACAGAAAGAGTAATATATATTATTTGAAAATGATATAAGAAGTGCTATAAATCACAATAAATTAACAACTTCAAAATATATTTAACAAAATCACATACAAAAAATTATATAACTCTCCAAATTTCATCGGTGTCACATAAATTGAAACAAAGAACTACTCCCAATTTATGTTATTTACTTTCCTTTTTAGTCAGTCCCAAAAGAATGTCACATTTCTATATTAAGTAACAATTTGATTATAAAATATTTATTTTACCCTTAATGAAATAATTTACAGTCATACAAATTTATATTATTCATTTTGGACCACAAATTTTAAAAGTCTTCATTTCTTTTTTAAACTCCGTGGCGAATCAAACTACCTCACATAAAATGAGACGGAGGAAGTAATATACATTGGGCCCGCGCTGGCGCGGGAACCTAATAACTAGTATATATATATAAGAGAACCATAAGCCCGCCTATGTGGCGCCATCATAAATCAAGATTCCCTTTTAATTTATTTATTTCCAAAAATAGTTTTCCCTTTCATGAAAAGTTGTGACTTTTATGAAAAGTTATAATATAATTTTTATGAATAGTTGCGACTTGCGACTTCAATGAAGAATTGCGACTTTTATGAAAAATTGTGACTTTTATGAAAGGTTGTGACCTTTCTGAAGGGTTGCAAATTTTCCAAATAGTTATGACATTTTCGATACGGCACAAAAAATCTGAACTTCTTATTCTTCTTCTTCTGCACAATTAAATATTCGTGTACTTTGCTCCTATTGAGTCTTCAATGAAGAATTGCGACTTTTATGAAAAATTGTGACTTTTATGAAAGGTTGTGACCTTTCTGAAGGGTTGCAAATTTTCCAAATAGTTATGACATTTTCGATACGGCACAAAAAATCTGAACTTCTTATTCTTCTTCTTCTGCACAATTAAATATTTTTGTGTACTCTGCTTCTGAAAGTCTTTCTTTTATTACTATTATATTATAGTTGAGTGGGAATAAAAATGTTTTTTCTATTTATGCTTGTCCAATTGTGAACATGATCATCGTATCTGAGATTCACAATCAGATAATTCTTTATCTTAATATAATCTTTCATTAGCTCAAAGAAAAGTAGAAAAAAGAACATCAATCAATCTCAGACCTAAAATAAATTAGCAACTTGCAAATTAATTAATTATATCAACACTATGATCAGAACTAAAGTCTAAAGTTCCACAGCCAAGCAAATCTAGTTAACAATATAATGACATCTAGTGGTGCCTATGTACTATAAGCAAAAGGAAACAGTCTATTTCAAAATATTTCTCATAATTTTCTTTTTGACACGTCAAACAATATGAATTTTGATAAGTTTTTTAGGATTTATCCTTTACTTCGTATTGATATAAAAAAATATTGTAATCTCTACTCCTTTTTTTAAAATTTATGTTGCACCCTTTTTTTTTAGTTCATCCCAAAAAGAATATTAACTTACTATAATTAAAAACAATTTAACTTTAAAATATTTATTTTAACCTTTAATGAAAAGATTTTCAATTACACAAATATCTAATGATTATTTTCGACACAAGTTTCAAAAGTATTCATATTTTTCTTAAATATCATGTCAAGTCAAACAGTGTCACATAAAATGGGATAGAGGGGGTAATATTTTTCAAATAATTTTTTATATCTAAATTATAATCTTAAAATTGATCTAATCTAATTTAAATTTGATAATTATTCAAATTGAATCTCGAAAAAAAAAAACATGACAACTGTTTACTTTTGAAAATCAAGAAAAAATTACTGTAGTACTTATTCATTTGTCAAGTTACCAAATCATTACAAGTAATTTAAATTTAAATCTCTAAAGTATCATTAATTAATAATAAGACTAATTTAGAAACATAGAGGGAGAGAGGTTATACTAGTAACACAATTTTGATATCATCATGGAGCTAGAAAACATTTTGAGAAGAGATCCAAAACACCATCTTCTTACATTACATCACAAAACAAAATGTGATTATTATACTATAAGCTAGTTAAGACACATTATTATTACAACAAAACCAAAACAAAAACGACTAATTAAATTAAACTTAGAACAAAGCAGAGAAAGTTTCCTCCAATTCTTCAACAACAGTAGCAATATCAACCTTTTTATCCTTATTCCTCCTATCACACCTATTCCTAATTTCACCATTTCCACCAGTCAACACATTCATTTGTCCCATTTTAATCATACCAATAACAAATTTCTCATAAAACAACGATTGATTCACCGCAAAGCTCGTAACAATCCCTCGAGTTCTTCGATCCGTATACAAATCTTGATCAGACGTAAAAAGCCCTTGTCTATTCATGAGATCAACGTAGTACTTGTTGTCAAACACATTAGGGCTACGAATGTCCATGTTGACCGTGTTGTTCGAGTCAGCTGTGGGACAACTACCTTTGAGGTTGTTAGCAAATGTCTTGTCCATAGTGGAATCTTGGTTTGGGTAGAGACGGTCGGTGAAGGAAGGACAGTGGCTGATACCGATAGTGTGGGCCCCGGACAACGCGACCGCATCGGTCGCATCGAGGCCTTTGGTTGCAAGGAGAGAGAGGACGGTTGTGGTGTTGGCAAAGGGTGCAACTAGGTTGTCTATCGTCGCTTGCTCCGTTGCAAAGTTGACTCCGTCCTTTCTTCCTAAGGGTACATCGTAGTTGGGCCCACCCGTCTGAAATTACCATAAGCTTATATTACGTTTTAACTTATATATACTGACGGTATAATATTAATATGCATTACTATATATACGATGAAGGTAGAGAAATTTAATTTAATTTTACCTAACCAAAGCAAATTGGAAGACATATCAGTCACGAGGTGGGGCCTAAGTGGTGTGAAAAGTAATGACATAAACCAACTACTCATTCATTGAACTTCAGTCTTTAATATTTACTAGTATGACATTTTCCCACCATGAAAGTCCTTTTTTCTATAAATAGTTGAACTATATAATAATGATCTATTATAATATATTCTGACAAGTTTTTAACAGAGATGTGTTATTCTTTTTTAGTCCGACTAAAAAAAAAGTATGTCATATAAATTAGGACGAAAATAGAACTTGTGGTCTTACTTACCAAAACAACAGAGTCCCTAGCAGCAATGGCAGTAATATCAGAGCAAGACACAACTTGACCACACTCATCTTGGATCCTTTTTCTAAGATCATCAATTATCTTGAATGACCTCTTTCTTAGGGTCAAATTTGGAACTGCAGTTTGCTCACTTGGCCCTCCTGCTGATCCATCTAGCAACACTGAACCATCACACCCCTGCATCATAAAAAAAAAACATTATTTTTTTTTCATTTGATTTTCCCTTGAAAAATGTTCCCACCATGCATTTTCCTAGTCAGCTGGTTCAGTGAAAAATCATATTCTATAGTTCGCGATAGAAAAAATCTTAGTTTCTAGTAATGTGAGTACACAAAAAATAATAACCTGAACAAAGCAATCGTGGAAATGAAGACGAAGTAAGCCAGCAGCTTGGCCAACATCATCCTTAATTTGTTTTTCAAGCCTCTTTCTAATAATGGATTCAAGTTGAGGACAACTAGATTGATAAAATGACCATGAAAGACCTTTTGTTAAAGCAGGCCTTTGAGCTTCTGTGACAAAGAAAGAAACAAGAAGAACAAGTAGAAAACTTGATAGAGTAGTTGACACCATGGCTATAGCTAGATAGTTTGATTTAGCTAATTAATTGGTACAATGATAGTAAGAAGAATGGGTCAAATTTATAGCCATATAAAGTTATCCACTTGGATATTTTAATTTTTTCTTATATTTGTTTAGACTTTTTTAAAATGAGGCATCTCGGGTTTTTTCTAAGAAATAGCCGTGTGGTCGTCACACTGCTATCCATCTTTTGATGTTGATAGTTTTATGTACTATTTCCGTTTTTTTTTAATTGTTATAGTTTGTTTTTTTAGAATCAATCGATAAGAATTTGATTAATATTTTATATTTTATATTTTTATTATATTAATATATAAAAATTGCAGTTAATCATATTTTCGTATATTTTTTAAATATCTAAATTTTTATTTTAAAATATCAAATTAATATAATCTAATTTAACTTTAAAGATTAATCAAATTGATTTTAAAAAATGAAACATAACAACTAAAAAGGAACTGATGGAGTATTCTTCTCTCCCTTGTCTAAAATAAAAATAATTTTTTGGAATGTGGCACACGACCCTTAGAAAAATTAGTTAATTTCATTAATTAAAAGATAGTTTGACAATATTGTCCTTTTGTTTCTTCTCGAACTTATCTTAAAAACTAGAGATAGTTGAATTATAGCTAGATAATTTTGAAGAAAAAAAATTACTAACATATTTTTGAACTTTTGAGAAATTCATTCATTTTTTTTTTACCATAAAAGGTGTCAAAAATTTATTTATCCGGAACCAAAGAGTGAACTTTCTTCATTTAATTTTTACTTTTCTAATTTAAATTTTACACACTTTAAAAAGAATAATTTATTATTATATTCATACTAATTAATGTTTAATATTAAATTTTAAAAAAATAAATAATTAATAAAAATAAGATATTAAAATGAATATATCAACTATTTTTTTAATATACTAAAAATAAAAAATAATTTTTTAATAAAACGAACACCGAGTGAGTAATTGGAAAAAATATTTTGGCCAGAAAGGTAAAATAACATATTTCACATTATGTTATTTTACCTTTTTAAATATTTTTACCCTTTTAATTTTAATACCTTTTAATGAAAAAATGGAAAAAAGATTAATTTATTTTAAAATAAATAAAGATATTATAGACTTTGAAATTTTTTGACATTTGGCCAATTTTTTTGATCATTTAGCATTACCCGAATAATTTATATTACATAGAATAATGAATCCAAGAAAGACACATATCTATGTTCTTTTGTGCAACGTGCAAAATTTCGTGCATAGTGTAATTTACCTTTTCAATTATTAACATCCAATAGAAAAAGCAAAATATACTAGCCGCCAATAAAGAATGCTTATTTTTCACTCCTACTCCATATTTACTCGATGCATGAATCTTGATGTTTATGTTCCTGCATTAAAGTTTCCCGCATAAAATTTAATGTTCAGTATTCGTATTAAAGTTTCACCACATAAGATTCATTCAAAGGACAGCACTTCATTTGTTTTAAATTTAAAGAATTTTATCTTATTAAACTACATCAATACAGTATATATTTTTTATTTAAGTAGATATAAATATCTTATGTGGATAAGTATTAACTTCTTCTTTTTTTACCAAACATTTCCACTAATTATCAAGTAATCGGTAAAAAAATCATAGCTTAGCCGACTATCTCGATTATATCTATACACTAATTTAATTTGTCTATCAAAAGCAAAATTACTATAGTCAAAACTTTAAGGAATGCAGTTTGACTTTAGATTTGTCATGTTCCTTCACAATGTAAGTATAAGATATTTCTCTAGTTATGTTCTTACAATTCACAGTCTCTAATCTTGATATTATTGAACACCAGCCAAAAAAATATCCATAAAGTTTTAAGGGAATTATTTTCTTAAAATTAATTCCTCGATCCGTATTTGCTCTTTCCTTTAATGAAATTTGATATTTTTTAACAGATAAATTACATTATTTACAAAGTTATACTCTATTTATGATTTTACAAAAGTTAATAATGAAAAGTATGATTTAAATTATGTCATTGAATATTTTTCTTAATAAGTGTTTGACATGAGTACTTTCTATTTATATACATATTAATTGATGTTAAATTTGAAAAATAATTTAGGAATAAGTAATTAGTATTAAAATAATAAATACTATCTTTATATTTTTCTCTTAATATACTAAAAATAACAAATAAAAAAATAGAAAGTGTATTTATCATCTTCGTCTAACAATGGAGAAAGAGCCACGTAGTCGTCGCGCTTGGTTAACATTTTTGCCTTTTTCTAGATAAAGCTATGCTTGATGAAGAGAAAGCCGCGAGGGTGAATTTTAGTTTGCTTTAATTTATTTATTTTTGATAATTTTTAAAGTTTAATTTTTCGACATATTTTAATCATAAAATTAAAAAATATTTTGGTATCTTTTACATTTTCTTATTTAAAATTATCGTAACGATAAAAATAATAATATAATCACTAAAATTTTATCAAGTAGATTTTAAAGAAGATAAAATATGCACGGACTTTATTACTCTATCGTGAAAGTAGAGAGACCATTATTATTATTTTTAGAAAATGTTTTAGATATTACTCCATCTGTTCAATAATATTTGTCTACTAGCTTTGCACATTTCTTAAGAAACTATAAATAAAATGGTAATTTTATTATATCACTTTTTGAATATAATAAATACATTATCTTGAAAAATGTAATAGGAAAAAATATTATAATTACTAATTAGGAATTAAGTATAAAAATATTTATTAATTTCATTATTGAATATTATAAAATAATAAAGTGAACAACTATTGTTAAATAGAGAAAGTACGGGGCATCATGGACTTTTCTATTAAAGAGCCACGTGGTCGTCACACTGCTCTGGTCTCTGGACCTTTTGATTTTAATAGTTCAAATTGTAGGGTAGAGTATTATATATAGTACTACTAATTATTTATTACACCAAGAAACCATGAAAAGTTATTACTCCAAAAGAAAAAGGCATTACCAATCCTTTAAGGGGTTGTTTGGCGTGAGAAATAAGAATAAATAATTTTGAATAAATAAATAGTTCAGGAATAAAAATTTGATGTCTTGTTTGATTGTTATATTTGAAATAACTTATTCCACCATTTATACTATAATGATGAAATAAGTTATTTCATATACATGATGAATAAGTTATCTCAGGATAATTAATCCTGAGATAATTTGTTTCCAGCCAAACCACCCCTAACATTATGTACACATATCATACGTGCAGAGTTTGATATGCGTACCGTTAAAAAATAATAAAAGTTTCACATTAATGAGATGTGTGAAATTATTGTAAGGCTTAATAGCGGCGCTGATTATTATTTTGTTAACTCTAATATGAGCTTATGGATTTGTCCATTGGAGCTGTGATTTTTACTTTTGTAAATTCTTTTTTCTCGTATTATTCCAACTCTAGTGCAAATGTTATTTACTTATTTTAATTAGTTATATGACCTTTTTTTATTAAGAAATTGTAAAAATTAACACAAGAAATTTGCAATTAATTAAAACAAAGAAAAACTTGTATGATAATTTTATTTTATTTTATTTTATTTAAAAGCTAGTATGAGTCATGTTTGTAATACAGAAAATCTGGTAAGTTATTTAAGAGCAAATTAGGTGAAGTCATTTATTTTCCCAAAAAAAGAAAAGAGGAGCTTCCAAGAGTTGACTGAATATTTGCCAAACCTGTGGTTTTGGCCCCTAGAATGTACTACTATATAATATACTCCTCTCGTCTCAATTTATGTGATGTAATTTAATTTGACATAAAAATTATAAAGGACAAAGACGGTTAAAGTTTATAATCTAAATAAATCATATATATTTGTATGATTATAATTCATTTTATCAACAGTAGATATTTATAAGGGTCAACTAAAAAAGAGTGAATTAAATTGGTGTAGAAGGAGTATCATTTTCAAGTCTACATTGTCGATCTCTTCTAACATATACATCTTTGGTTAATTTAACTTTAAAATGCATGTTGTAAAATAATATTCAAAAGAAAATATACGTTCATACTCTAACTTCCTTTCAATTATTCTCTTTATATATATATTCCACCTTTTTTTCTTTTTCTTTTGGTGACTTATAAAGCTATTTTTAGTCGTTGATAGTTGCAATTTATTTCCCTTGTTTTTAATAGAGGCCGCCCACGTGCAGGATAGCATCAAGACTTTGGAGGTTTTCCAAAGGACAAAAGCAGCCTACAACAAAGATATCATCACTTTGTTAGGATAAAACGATAAATATTTCTTCATTTTTAGTGAGATCAAAATTTTTGTATTTAAGATTTTTGAGAATGTTACTGTTATTGATAGAGAATATTTCACTCATATAGAATTTTAAAGCACAAATTTAAAATAATCAAATTTTAAAGTAGATATCGAATACTAGAAAAAAAACAAAAAAGAAAGACACACGCCTCAGTAATAAAGTAAATACACATAAAAGTTTATGTATATGACCAAGAAACTTTTAGTTCACCTAATATTTTTCCTAGCTACTTGCTCGTGGTACGTTCTATATATTATTCAATGAATCATTATATTATATGTGTTTGAAAGAAGAAACAAAAGTCTTTTCATTTGTTCAAAATTTAGATGTACTATTGAGCATCTTTTATTTTTCAACAGTCGCAATTTGATGAAATGTAGTAGAATATAATTATGTCAGGGCTAGTTTGATATGAGGGATAAAAAAGAGATTAACTAATTTTAGAATTAATTTTAAAATGAATTTATCTCATGTTTGATTGGAATAAAATCACAGAATAATTTATCTCGAAATTAGTTATATCTCGGGATTATAGTATTATTTTTATTTCACATTAGGTTGGAACAATATTCTGAAATAACTAATCCCCGAAATGGTTAATCCTGGAATACTTATCATTCAAATAAAAAAATTTAAAAAGAGGGAATTCGAATATTAAACTAAGAAGATGATTTCTCACATTCCCTTTATACATTCACTTTTTTTCTAAGCTGACTTTCAGATTTCGTTTTTCTCCAAATATAAAATTTATAA